TTTCCATAATTTTGAAATTTGTCTCCAAATAATAAGAGTACATTCTCTTCCATTTTTTTTAAATTCACTGGAATCACCTAAAAAGTACCCTGTACCTAGAGAAAAATCTTAATATTCTAGCTCTATTTTCTTCTATAGTAAGAGTGAAATTAAATTTTAGGGTTGATCCAAGGAAAAGGAGATTGGCTCTCATTAGGTATTCCTCTAATTCGAAAATACAACATTTAATAAAAACTTTCATTTGTATATACACATTACTAAGGACCAACAAGGAACAAGATTAAAAAAAAAAAGCACACATAAAGTATTTGTGCAAACTATGTCTCTATTACTTTAACATAAAAAATGAAAAAAAACATTAACTTCTATTATCTATCCCAGAAACAAAAGGTTGAAGTAATGATTTATAAAATAAAATGTTTCATTCTGTAATACTCAGGAAATCTCAGAATATTTCTAGAGCCTTACCTAATCCTTAGAGTTTGGCCATGTCTTCAGATAACATTTCCCCTCAACAAACATTCCTATCAGGTCAATAATCATGATTCTATACTTACCAATATCTAAAATTTTCTTTTGTAAAGCTCCAATGAAAAGGAATGGTTCTTCTTTACATGACTGAATGAGTGTGCCAACAAATTCAGAATGTGTTGCTAAGATGCAGGCGTTTTCTTCATCAAGGTTGACATCTGCCATGCAAGTCACATCATTGATGTCATCTTCACCTCTACAGGGACAAAAAGTTATAATTTGGGGTAGTTAGTGTGTGTGTGTGTGTGTGTGTGTGTGTGTGTGTGTGTGTGTGTGTGTGTGTGTGTGTGTGTGTACATGGTTTCAGGGTTGACAGAAACATACCTCTTAGCCATTACTTGGGAAGGAGAGGCAGGAGAAAACAGGAGTTAAAGGCCATCCTTGGCCACACAGTCAGTTCAAAGTCAGCCTTTGCATGGAAAAAACAAAAACAGATCTTTCTCATAAATAATACTATTTTATTGAGTTTATTCAATGAAGTGAATTGAAGAATGCTATCTTTCTCCTTAAGCTTTTAAAATTAAACTGGCATCACTAAGCAGAAGAGAAAGCTTTCTGGAAGAGAAATCAGAACCTGCTGTGTGTTCCAGAGCTTATCATTTCCTCTCTGGTGAGACATACCAAGAGGGATTGGACTTACTCCAGTCATCCACAAATCCTCTACAATGAAATACTAAGAAATGAAAACGGACTCTCTGCTTTCATCCAGGATTGTTAAAAGCCTCTCAAGATTTCCCCTGTGCACTCCACTATTCTACTTAATAGCAGAAGAAACACTCAATCATAAAATCATGTTACAGCTATTCTGAAATCAAAATTTTTAAATTAATTTTGTTTTTATGATTCACATTTTTGCATACTCCCTCTGTACCAAATAAATATACTAAAAACACACTCTCAAGCAATTGGCTACAAAGGACCTATTTTTAAAATACAAATAAAACTACACACGTTCGCATACATACACACAGTAAAATTAATTTCATATAGTACCAACAAGAGGCTACATATCTAAGAGAAGAAATATAATAAACTCCCTCTGAGAATCCTTTTCACCATATGTAATAACAGTCTAGTTACTGATCATGATTCACATACTAATTGTACAAAAGTGATTATTATAGTAAAACATATTCCCTAAAAAGATGGGCAAATGGCACCTCACAAGTCTGTGTCAAATAGATTTAAATTATATATTGCCCCAATGATGATGAACTTGTATAGAGAATAAATTATAATTATCAAACCCTCAAGAAATGAAGGCCCTTGGTGTACACTTTTTTAAAAAAACAGAACATTAAAGATAAAGAAGAAAAAATACCCAAAAAAAAAACATAGAAAAGTGAGCCCAATGAAAGAAAGGTGCCAGACACACAGCTTAAAGTTAGAGAAAGAACAATGGCGCTACCATCATGCAGCTCACTAACAGCTCAACATTTAAAGGTGTGTCTGTACTAAGAGAAAGAAAGAGAACAAATTAATATCTTAAACTACTAATGAATCATTCATAATAAGGAAAACAGATTCCGTCTATTAAATGTCATAAAGTTGTCAATGGCTCTAAAAATAAACTTCCAACTGATATAAATCAAACAGAATGTCCAGATTTAAATATTTAAACACAAAACATAAAAAATGGCAAAAATAATTACCTAAGCAAGGATCAGATCCTAAGGTTAAAAATATTCTTTTAAAAAGGCCTAATAAAATCAAAACAGCCTAGCATCCCTGGATACTAAATTAAAAGTAGAAATAATGAGTTTCACTGTTCTACTGTATGGTAAAGTGATTATGAAAACATAATGACTACATGTTGCATAAACAAACAAAACCACATGGATCTTGAATATTTTCACCAAAAAGAAATGCCAACTGATAAAGATTGAATAATTAGTCTGATTTGAACATTATATAATGTATGTATATATTAAAACTAACAGTATCCATAAAGGTATCATATTATAGATAAGTCCCAATTTTCTGAAAAACCACCATATTGATTTACAAAGTGGCTATACAAGTTTGTACTCCCACCAGCAATGAAGGAGTGTTCCCCTTGCTCTACATCCTAGCTAGCATGGGCTGTCACTTGTATTTTTGATCTTAAGAGTTCTGACAGGTGTAAGATATAATTAATCTACCTCAAGAACTAACTATATATAACACTCCTAGGCATAAACCCAAAGGACACCCCATCCTACCACAAGGACATGTAGTAGAATATATCTTAAGATGTGTGACTTTTGTTTATACTGCATTTGTTTGAGTCAGTGAATCTGTGATTCTTTGCCTGTCTAAAACACCTGATGGTCTAATAAAGAGCTGAATGGTGGCCAATAGTGAAGCATTAGCAAGGACAGGTGAGGCAGGCAGGCAGAATATATAGGAGAAACGAAAAAGAGGAGAGAACAAGGAGAGGAGGGCGTCAGGAGCCAGCCACCCAGCCAGTCATAGGGTAAGAAGGAAAGTAAGATTTACAGAAGAGGCTGGGTGTTGGTGGCACACGCCTTTAATCCCAGCACTCGGGAGGCAGAGGCTAGGTGAGTTCGAGACCAGCCTGGGATACAAGAACTAGTTCCAGGAAAGCCTCCCAAAACACAGAGAAACCCTGTCTCGAAAAACAAAACAAAACAACAAACAACAACAAAAAAAAAGATTTACAGAAGAGAAAGATAAAAGCCAGAGGGAAAAGGAAGTCAGGATAATTTAAAACAAGAAAAGCTAGTTTGAAACATGCCAAACTAAGCATTCGTATGTAAGAATAAGCCTCCTTCGTGTGTGATTTATTTGGAAGCTGGGTGGTAGGCCACTCATAAAGGCAAGAGTAAAGCTTCACACTACAAGGACACTTGCTTAATTATGTTCATAGAGCTTTATCCATAAAAACCAGAAACTGAAACAACCTAGGTGTTCCTTAACCGGAGAATGGATAAAGAAAACATAAATCTACACTACTAGTTTTACTCAGCAGTTAAAAAAACAAAAACAAGAAGCAAAAACCATGTTATGACATCCTGAAATGTGCATGTAATGGATGGAACTAGAAAAAAATCATCCCAAGTGAGGTAACCCAGATCCAGAAAAAGACAAACATGGTATGTACTCACTCATAAGTGGACATTAATAAGCTGTAAAGGATAACCATGCTGCAATCCATAGACCCAGAGAGGCTAAATAACAAGGAAAGCTCAAGGGCAATGGATGGATCTCCCTGGGAAAATGAAATAGAATAGCTTTCATGGGTGAACTGGAGGCAGCTGGGATAAGCACTGAAATCATTACCTACACAGGTAACATTATACAGACTGAGCAGGTTGTATTTATACATTTAGGTATGTGTACATGCGTGTATAATAACAAAGAAAAGGTGTCTATTATTTTAAGATAGTGCAAGGTTTGGGGGTGTGCATGGGAAGGTCTGGAAAAAAGGAAAAAAGGTAAATGATGTATTATAATTTAAAAAATAAAAAATATAAACAAATTAAAAGTTTATGCAGCTGGAGAGATGGTCCTATGGTTAAGAGAACATGTTGCACTTGAAAAGCTCCTAGGTGTGTTACCAGAACTCACATGGCAGCTTACAACTGCCTCTAGTCAAGTTCCAGGGATTTGGACACCTCCTTGAACACTGTATGTATTGTGTTACACTAACTTAGATGCAGGCAAAATATTCATAAAAATAAAAATAAACGAATCTTTAAACATAAATAAAGCTATTACATAGAAACAATTAGAACTGAATGTTTATAAATGAGTTTACAGACCCATGTAAATAGTATCTTGCTTTTCTATTAGAGTTCCTGCATAGCTCTTATTGGGAACTTAACAGCCTTTAGAGATCAGTTCCAGGCCTATGCATAAAAGTTCAAAAACCAGCACTAGAATTTAATTCGAAGAGCAGCTTTATTCAATAAATAAACAGGAAAGCAGCTACCCAATAATTATTTTTTGCCTGCCTTGTCCCAACCTAACCACAATTCCTTCTGGTACAGCTAAGAGTGGGCATTGCCACAGGAGCATGGAAGAACTCCACTGAAAAGAGAAAAGGTGTCCCAGTAAAAAGTACTCAGGCCTTTAGAAGTTCCTCATGGAAAGAGGGAGACAGGAGGAAAGCAAAGCAACACTGGCAGAAGCACTGTCAATAAAAGCAAGAAAGACAAGGACAAACTCAAGGCTATCATGTACAGGAATGTTTGTGATCCTATTTTGGTTTTATTTCATTTTAAAGGTAAAAAGTGAAAACCACTGAGCCAAGTCTGAGTGTAACACAGGGCTTTCTAGCGAAGGTATTATATCATATGGTCTATTATTTTAAAAGAAAAGAAAATTTAGTACTTTAGTAGAAAAACCTTCAAGTGTCTGTGGAGTAGCACATCACACAAATTAGGGTACCACTCACTTGTCATGTATTCTGTCTTCTGAAACTCCTCTAATTGATTTGTTCTTGATAAAGTTAAATACTACTCAATGTCTACTTCATTAAAATTTCCTACTATTAAGCTCTGCAATAGCACTAGACTAATTTTTCTGAGGAGGTAGAATGACATTCCTTTCCTGTTCATGTCTACATAAGGACACTGGTTCTCCTCTATCATTATCAACAGGTCCTCCTGATGCCAGCCTCTGTTGGAGTCCTGATTCTTGTCTAATCTTCAACTTGCCTTGCTCTCTTATTTTCAGCCAAAGACTGATTTATATGATAGGTCAACTTCAATTACATATTTTTAAAACATCTGGTTGATTTGTCTTTAAATATTTCAATTACTTCTCAAATTGGTACGACTTTTAAACTACTGAGAACATCCTTTTGCCCATTACAATAGATCTTACTATAGTATCTAATCTAATGTTCAATGTATTTGCCTTAATTTACAACAAAACTACCCTTATGGGCCATATTCCTAACAAAGCAGTATATAACTTGGTACAAAGCTATTTAAAGAATCATGTGCCTTACAATAATGTGCTGGTTGCCTAGGACAATATGATGAGCAGCAGAGACAAGTAAAAACTGGCAGTTCTGAATCACTTTGCCTACCTTGTTATCCTGACTATTCCAATTACTAAGTGAACTAAAGTTTAACTTATCTGAACCCCTACTTTCAATAAAAGTGTAGAATATTTGTCCCTACCCTCAAATTGAGGACTGAAGAGGGAATTTATGTTATACAAATAGGGAGTCCACATGCTTCTTAT